GTGTGTGTGTGTGTGTGTGTGTGTGTGTGTGTGTGTGTGTGTGTGTGAGATAGACTGTTGTCCCTGTCTGGGAGCTTGTCCCAGGCCTTTAGATTTAGGTGGAGAGCATTTTAGAACTGGGAGAAAAATGTGGAGAGGTGTCCAGGTGCCACAGCCCCACTAGGTACAAGCCCAGGAACCTTTTCCGTGTGCTACACTTTCATTCTTAGACAGCACGACTTGCAAAAAACCTGGCATTCTGTTCAGCCAACCTTGAAGTTCCTTGATTGACTTTCATCTGTTTTCTTGTCCCTTATTAATCTTCCCAACTTATCTCCCCCCCATATACCCCGTTTGTTTCTGTTCTCCGCCTCCTCTATGCCTCCAAACCCTGCCTCCCCTCTTCTCCCCAACCCAAACACTTCCTTCTCTGTAGAGGAGACCTAAGTTTGAATTTCAGTGCTGGCACTCACTAACTTAGATAAGTTATTTTAACTTGTAGGGCCTCAGTTTCCTCATTTGTAGAATGAAGGAGTTGAGCTAGGTGATTTCTTATGGTCCTTCCCCTTCTAAGGCCTGTGATCTTTTGAACATGAAGCAGCTACATTCAAGCAATCGTTGTGTTCTTGCTTAAGACTACCCAGTAAGAATGGAAGTTCAGTAGATTCTCTGTGCATCAACTGGTATTCTCTGCTCCATCTCTGTGAACTTTGTGCAGCATTTGTCTCCCTAGGTTGATCAAAAATGTTACTGTGTCCTTCAGTTTCCACCTTGAAGGGGCTGTGACCCGCCCCTCCTCCTTCTCAGGTAGCCCCTGAACAGGAATTGTAAGAGAAGAAAGGTTTTAAAATAATATTTATTACCTTCATTTTGGAAGTTCTTCATCAAGGTGATACTTGCTTTCTTTTTAGGAGATCGTTTATTGCTGACCACCAGCTAGATAATGATGAGATTTTTTAGAGTAAGAGGGGTCTCTGAATTTGTCATCGTGTCTCTTTCCCCTTCCCCAGTTTCTTTATTCTCCCCCCGGGTGCCACTTACCTCTTGATGTTTGCTGTCTTTGTGATATAGAAAAATTTGGGTTGGATTTCCCACCATTTTGGTATTAACTGAATAGTGTATTTATGAGCTGCAGCTGAGCTCAGGGTTGAGAAGGAGAGCGTCCCACCCCAGAAAGGTCTGGGTTCAAGTCCCTCCTGATATGTCTGGTACATAAGAGCCAGGTCACCAGGCAGCCTTCTGAGATCTTTGATTGGCACAGCAGGTGCTGATGTACATGGGAGCCCTGGACAGTGACTCACCTGAGGAGATCCCAAGACTGGACACAACAGAACATATCAGTTCCGTATGGTCCAGAGAACCTCAGGGTGATTTTTGGCTGAACTTTCACATGCAGTTTGCCCAGAAGATGGGCCAGTTGCTTTCAGGATCAGAACTACCGGTCAGGGGTCTTTTTTAGTAGAAAACCCCTGTGATCCTGTGATTTGGGACTCTTGAAGAGTTGTCTATAAATAGAATCATTTGAAATTCATTAAGGGAGAGCCTTATTTAAGGGAAATTGAGAATAATAGCTGCCAAATATCTGTATAAAGCCTATAGATCATGGTAGTATTGCCAAGTGTACTATTTCTTGATCCTCCCAGTATTGTGGTGTGGCCTCTCTAGGTGGTCTTATCCCCATTTTGTAGATAAGGATACTGAGACTCAAGAGTGGGAAGTTAAATAACCCCTGGTAACCAAACTCCTAAATGTGGAATTGTGGCTCTTAGAATTACATTATACAGTGATGAACTATTAGTAATATAATTAGCCACCCTTCAGGAAAGTGAAGAGGCTTTTCTAGAGTTAATCAGCCCCATATATCTTTGTTTTATAAATTCATGTTTTCCTATGCTGGATTTGCTTTACAGCTTAGGATTCGTGCATGGATTCACCTTGCAAGTTGGCTGTGTTTGTTGGGGATGGCCTCTTTTCCTCAGTTCTTATAATCTTCCCCCCACGATGTGGAGGCAAGCCTTCCCATTTCCCTTTAGAAAGCCCTGTTAGCTTGCCTTTTCCGCCTCTCCATTGTCTAAGTCTGCTAAGGCAGTCTGCCAACTGTGGGCATGAAATCCTGGTGAGAAGAGAAGAGGAAGAGGTTGAGGCAGCACTACTGGTGGTGAGTGTTTCTCCAGATATTCTCTCAGGTTCTTGGAGGAGCTGATTATAACCTCTTTTTTTTTGTGCAGGATTAATATTATTATTATTATTATTATTTTTTGGTTAAACTAATTGTTTGCTTTCTCAGTAATCTCATTGTTGCCCATTGGTCCTAGATAAGGTATCAGATAGGACAAGTATCAAAAGGGAGCAGAAGAAAATGTCTAAATTTACTTCCACTGTGTTTATTGGGCAACAGAGAAGTGCTCGGGAGCAATGGGGTATACAAAAGAAGTATTATTCATGGTCAGAGAATAATGGAAGTAAATGCATGGTGATGGAATTTATAGCCAGTGCTGGGAGGAAGCTTGGTTGTCATGTGGTCCTGTCTTTCCAAGTCAAGTCGACAGCAAGCCTTCATTAAGTGCCTCCTCATAAGTGGTCTGGGCCATGCTGAATAGATGAGGCCCAGAAAGTTGGAGTAACTTTTTGAAAGCCACGTGAACATTTTATAGTGGAGTAGAATGAGAAACCATGGCTCCTAATTCCCAATACAGTTTATTCTCTTAATACAAGCTGATAATCTAATTGTCTGTGTTGGTTAGGAAACAGGAGGAACGAGATAGGAACATATATGATATTTAAAGTAAAAATACAGTCATCAGTGCCGAGTTAAGTAGGATAGGCAATGGCTCCGACAAGGAAGAGAGCAGCGTTTGGGAAAGGCCATATTATGAAAGAGATGATGCTTGATCTGCCCTGATGGGTGGCAAGTGTGGCTAAGTGCAGAGCAGAGGAGGACAGTTTAGACAAGCCCAAGTCTTCGAGTCTTGCTTGAGCTGTGCCAGTGAGTCAGATAACCTGGCAGGAGCCGGGAGTTTGGATTTGGAGGAGGGAGAAAGTTTAAGGGCAGACTCATCTTGGGAACTTCCTTGGTGGAATGCCCTGAGAAGCTTGAACTTTCAGGGAGTTT